GCGGGGTATTATTGAGGTTCCTCCCCTCCGGGGAGGCGCCGAAGGGACCTCCCCAAACTTAGCCCTTGCGATTCACCTCGTTGCCCAAGTGGGTGCGGACATCCGCTAAAGCATGGTTCTGGTGATCCACCATTTCAACTCAGTTGGCCAATCCGGGTGCAAGGGATTCGCATTCAACCCAACCCAACCCAACCCAACCCAACCCAACCCACCCTAAACCCTAAACTCACCCTAAACCCTAAACCCACCCGGCCCGCCCTAAACCCTAAACCCTAAACCCAACCCACAAAAGCCGCTCCTTGGGGTCGAAGCAGGCACGCACCCATTTGGGCTGCAGCTGCGTGCGCGCTTCTCCTTCGGCTTCAAAGGCTGCGCTGGCCGCTTCGTGCTGGCGGCGCGGCAACGGGAGGTGCTGGAGCTGTTGGCCAGCAAGGCGGGAGGGGGAGGCTGAGGCTGGGCTTGGCACAGGTCTTTGTTGGAAACACTGGGGGTGGTTTATGTGGATTGGAGCCTTTGGGTACTGAAACCAATCCAAAGTTTTGCTGCTTCGATCCCTGAAACGTTATATGAAGAACCCAATAGCCCAACCTGTAGCAGACGTGACAATGGAAGCGCGCCAACTCTTGGTGGGATTCTAGTCAGGTCAGCTCCCTGCCCTCAGGAGCATCGCTTGCTTTGGTTCAGACTGCATCGCTGTATTAGCGTGCTTGCCAATGTAACTTGAAGGATGCGCAGGTGGATGCTTTTTGTTGCACCTTGTGTGACTTCCCACCCCCCTTCCCCACCCCCTGCCCACCCCCTCCGACCCCCCCCCGGAGAAAAACAAGGAAAAGAAAAAGACGCACGCACACACGAAAAACAGCACAAACAACAAGCGAAGCCTCAAGCCGGGCCTCCCTCCCCTCCCCCCCTCCCCTCCCTCCCCCTCCCACCCTCCCTCCCCCTCCCACCCTCCCTCCCCCTCCCACCCTCCCTCCCCCTCCCACCCTCCCTCCCCCTCCCACCCTCCCACCCTCCCTCCTCCTCCCCCCCTCCCCCCCTCCCACTCCCACCCCCCTCCCCCCCTCCCACTCCCACCCTCCCTCCCCCTCCCCCCCTCCCTCTCCGCCCCCCCTTCCTCTCGCAGGTGGCCCGGGGCAGTGCCTCCGCCACCGGGGCGCTGGAGGTCTTGTCCCAGGGCGACTTCTCGGAGGCGACGCCCTCGGAGCTGTCGCGGTCCCCGGTGGCGCGCGCGCCCAGCGACCTGCCGACGCCCCGGGCGCCGCCCAGCTTCCAGGAGCAAGAGGGTGGCTCGAAATAGGGAAGGACAAAAAGAGCAAGTTCTTTATATATATATATATAGTTTCAGGTTTTCTCTTTTTCGTTAAACAAAAAGGAGTGGTTGGAGTTTGGAAGCCAAGGGCGTGGAAACCGTTTCGAGCTTCCAAAAAGCTCGCCCAGGGCGCGTGTGTGGACCTCAGGAGGTGGCGAGCAACGCCTCCAAGAGCGGCCTTCCGCTGAAGCAGCTGCCGCCGGAGCTGGTGGCAGCCTTGTTGGAGGAGCCGAAGGCGGGAGGTTTTCTTTGTTATTATTTCCAAAGGGAAACCCAAGAGGTGGGGGAGGGTTGTCTTTTTTTGTTTCCGGACTTCTATTTGAAATGGAAACCCAAGGAAAAGGGGGGGGTGTTTTTTTGGTTTACCATTTTCCCAGGCCCCCGATTTTTTTGTGGCCGGGGTCTTTCAACTTTTTCTGTTGGTTTGGCCTAGTTTTGTGTCCATGATTTTGGCTTGGCCCAATTTGGTTTGGTTCAAACTTGAGTTGGGTTCAATTGTGGTTTGGTCTTGGTTTGGCCCAATTTGAGTTTGGTCCAAATTTTGGTTTGGCCCGATTTGGTTTGGTCCAAACGACCTTGGTTTGGCCCAAACTGAAATGTGCGCAGTGCTGCGCGGACGCACTTGAGCGGGCGTGCTCAATCATTCGGCACGCGTGTATGCAGCGCTGAGAGGGTGCACGGGAACTTCGCTCCCCTGAGACTCAAGTCGCGTTTCGCTCCGGACACACCCGGTGCGAACCCCGCTCATGGGTTGTTCGGTCCTCGTCAAGACGGGAAACAAGGCACGTTCAAGACTCGAGACATCTCGGTCTCGCTGGGCTGATTGACTAAAAGGAGGTTGCGTTGGAGTTTGGCCATGTTGTGCGCTATTTCCCTGTTTGGTTAGGAAATCTTTGACCCCTTTTTGTTTCTACTCTTTTTGGGGTGGGTTTCTGCTTTCACCCCGACAGACAAGGGGTGTCCCCGTTTCCCACATGGGCGCTGGGCAAGAAAGGGCACGGGCCGTAGGGTCTTGGCTGTTTGGATTGCGTGCTCAAGTTGGACGCTTGTCAAAACCCTGCTCTTGCTGGTTTCTTCTCTCGTCTTGCTTCAAAGCACGAGTCCTTGTGTCCAGCAAGAAAGCGAACTGGGGCGTGTCTCTTCTGACCCGAAACTGCCCTGCGCACTTGGCTTCGCGAATTGGGATTGGGGTTTTCTTTGGGCTTTGCCGTCGATTGGCTGGCCGAATTGCCGAAAGGCGCATCCTGTTGGCTTTGCCCATTCACCGGTCACGAAATGGTTGGCCCGCACCAAGTCACCAAGTTGTCTCCCCGCTGGTCTCTTCGCTTGTTTCCCCGCTTCCCCGCTTGCCTGTCCCTGCCTCGGGCCTTGCCGCGGTTTGTCTCCCCACCTGGTGACTCGGACCCTATCACGGCTTGTCTCTTCATTTGTCTCTCCGCTTGTTTCTCTGCTCGCGCTCGCTGACTAGGACCTTGTTTCGGCTTGTCTCCCTACTCCACACTTGACTCTTTGCTTGCACCTTGGACCCTTGTCACGGCTTGTCTCCCCCATCTTGTCTCCCCACTTGTCTCCCAGCCTGTGATTGCTGACTCGGACCTTGCCAGCTTCTCTCCCCACATGCCCGTGCTGCTCTCCAGACTTGTCTCCCGCCCATTTGGCTCTCTGCGCGCGCTGGCTGACCTCGTCGCGGCCTGGCCCCATTTGTCTTCCCATATCCACTTGTCTTCACACTTGTCTCCCTGCGTGTCCGAGAGCCTTTTTCCATTGTCACGTTGCCATGACATGGAAAACAAAGCTGCTATAAGACGTGACGCCGCCCAATCGGTTGTTCCTCATTCTTTGCATCTCATTCGTATGAGTGCTTAATTCGGTTGTCCAAACATGATCTCTGGTTGGCAATTCTTGTCGCAATTGAACAGAGCTGACGATTTGGGGTCGATGCTTTAACTTTTGAAAGGCGAAGCCCCCTTGTTCGCGTTTGAGGCCAAAACCAGGTGCCCAAGGCGAATCGACCTTACCCTTTCGGTTTTCCCCTTGGTCCATTTTTCGTGGCCCCAAAGGGTGATCACCAATTCTATTTTTAAAACCAATTCTTGTGGCATGGCCCCTTCTTGGCTTCCTTTTTTTTAAATAATCTCTGTTGCCCAGTGGTGCCCTTTTTTACTCAACCAACAAAAAAGGTGGCCTTTTTCCCATAGCCACTGGGCATCTGAGTCATGGCCAAGGGCGATCAACGCACACTGTTTGCAAGGTGCCAGAGCCGCTGGCGCTGGCGACTTGTTGGCTGCTGCTGCCCCCCGTGTGCCCCACCTTCCACCGCTGCTCCGTGTGCGTGGACAAGCTGGGCCTGCCCCTTGGGCCATAGGTGGCTGTGGTTGTCAAAACCGTTTTGGGATCCCAGTTTGGGGTTTTCGGTGCAGCACCCATTTTAGAACCTATTTTTGTGGGGATTGGGATTGGGGGTACGGGATTTTGACCCTTGAGCCAAAATCATTACACTTTTCTGACTCCTGTCGATTTGCCTTTGACTTTGACCCTTTCAACTCTGAAACCTTTTGACACCTTCAATCCCTTCAGCCGAGCCTCAACCCCTTTCATGTCTCAAGCCCAAACAGGCCTTCCAACTCTTTCGCCCACCTTAACTTGGTGGCTCCCAGCCATCCGGTTCCTTAGCTTCTTAGCCTTTAAGTGTGTGGTAGTTTCCATTTAAACCACTAAAAAAAGAAACTTTTAGCGGGGGATCTGAGGGTTAACACCACCTTAGGTGTTTCACTTTAACAGCAACAGTTTTTTGGAGGATGCACTTGTTGCTGCCAGAACTTAGCAAACCAAAAAAAAGACACGTGCCATGGTTGAAGCACCCGTCAACTTCTGGTCGTTTTTTCGTTTAGCTTCGGCTCCCTGGGGAACTAAACTCCAGACGGAGGTTTGAGCATGGCACGTGTGCTTTTTTTGGCACACAAATAGCGAGCTCACCGGGTGAGAGCTCACCCAGGACGTCTGGTTTGAAAAAATTAGAAGGGATGAGATGAGATGGACGAGGTTGGTGGTTTTGGTTGGATTCCCCTTGACATGGCAACCAAAAGGTCCATTTCGAGACACTCTTCTTTTTGATCATATGGGTGTGTCGTTTCTTGAGGGTGTGGGTTGGTTTAAAGGAAAACCTAAATAAAGACACCACTCTTTGGGGTTCCCCTTCAGACAAACTCCATCTCACGCTGAAAAGTCAAATGGGAGGACTAGAACCCTGCGGTGTTTTCTTTTGCCTACGCCCGTCGTGCTACACTTTGACTGACCACATTCTTGCTTGGGGTCTATGCTTTTTAGTATTGACCCAGTGCCATTTGGGTGTGGCTCAAATTTAAACAGGAGGGGTTATGCAGGTTTTGGTCCATGTTTCCACTTACCAGGGTTCCATTTTGGTACCGGTTTGTTGAGCCATCGCCATTTGTCGACCCGACTCGAGGTCGGTGCAGCCGCTGTCCAGCTCGCGGAGTGGCCCCAAGCAGATCCCCACGGAGTCGCTCAGCTTCCCGCTCTCCGCGATCCTGGAGGTGTGGATCTGAGCTCCAAATGCGCTTGACGCAGATTCTACCAATTGTTGAAACAAGCTCCTTTTGGTTTCCAACTAAAAACTGCCTTGTCTGCCTGCGTGCTCTTTGCTCAAGGGTACCCCTTAAAGGGGTTGTTTTACAGGACAACAGGAAAGCCGCGATCCATTGTCACAAGGGTTGGTTGCAAGATCAGTGCGTCAAGCAAACCAGGCTGCAGGAGAGCCAGAAAAACAAAAAATCAACACACACACACACACACAAAAGCACAACTGCCTTTGGGGTGGTTGAGGCATGGTGGGGCTTGCAGCCAGGGGTTCATGGCAACTTAGGTGGACGAGGTGCCGGCGCCCCTCCCTTCGCCGGGCGGGAGCGCCGAGGCGCCGCGGGGCGTGCTGCGGCGCCTGGCGCCGCTGGCGCGCTGCGCCTTCCGCCGGCCGCAGCCGCAGCCGCCGCCGGGCGCGCGCTTTGTGGAGCTCAGCGTCTCCGCCGGGGTGGCCGGCAAGGCCGCCGGCCAGGCCAGGTCGGGGCTGGGGGTTCGGGCACAAGCGCAAGGAAAAGAAAGAAGACAACTACGTGGGAGGTGCGGCATGGGGTGGTGCAAACGTGGGCCTTGTGGTTCAAGGCTTGGGGCTGTTCAAGGAAAACCCGAAAACCAAGAAACAAACAAGCCAAGTCCTGGGAAGGGCGCGTCCTGGTTTTGGCGCGGCAAGCTCCGTGTAGCTTAGCACTCCGAGGAGCGCTTGCCTCCCTGCATGCGCCTGCGTGACACGCGTCCAGGCCCTAGCTTGGGAACCAATCTTCGCTTTCGGGCGGTGAAGTTCGGCTTTGGAGATGTTTCGGCTAGGTTCAAGAACTAGCCACCACGACTTTTGAAGTGCAACCAACATTTGCTTGGCGCAAACCACCTTCCATGTGAAGTGCAACAAACACTTTGGCCCATGGGCATGATGGCCGCTTTCGTCCATCAGTGCACTGATGATGTGATTGAGCCACTTTCGTACATGTGCCAACCGCAACGGGGATCGGTGCACGTGCGTCCCAGGGGATGGTTTCGGCCATCGCTTCGGCTGTCGCGTCGTTTCAGGCCCGGCCATCAAGCTTTTCCTGGGTGTCCAGGATCAGCAGGAGGCAAAAGCCCGGCCAAGCGGTCTGTAGCGAAGTTGGATTTGTTCAAGGGCAGTTGCAGGTATCTTCCATTTGGTTAAGAATATTTGTTTTTGTTGTCGCTGTTGGCTTTAAAGGGAATTTATGACTATTGGACGTATTTTTACTTTTACCAGGGGACTTAAGCAAATGGAGGGTATGGGTTTTTGGAGGTTTTAAGGGGTCTCTACAGCCTTACAACCTTATATTAGTAGTATTTTTAAACCTCCATACCCCCCACACCCATACCTGAACATGGTGTTGCTTTGTGTTTGTTTTTGGAACTGACGCAGGCTTTGCAAAACCGTCCGGACCGAATTCGGCTCATCTTCCCAGTTCCATGACCTCTTCACGCGCTGGTCATGCACCATTTGGGTGGGGGTGGCTTTAAAGGGAAACTCATGGGAAGACCCACGATGTGAAGGGTTCCTTGTTTTAAGACACACCCAATTCTTTTCAGTTAGGGATATTCAGCCCATTGTCACAATCTCTTTTAACACCTCGACCGCTTGAGTTTGGCGAGGGGGTTGTTCTTCCAAAACAGGGAGGGTAACTTTGGCGGATCGAAAACGGGGCGCTTTCCCTTTCCAGGTTTCGATAGAAAGTGCCCGTTCAGAGGTGTGTCCCAACCTGACCTGGCGCATTGCCTCGCAAAGGGCTCAGTTTCGGCCCAGTGGCAGCCAAGAGGGTGTCTGAACAACATGTTTTTTCCCTATGGGTTTCTAGATTTTCTGTTGGTGATGTCCGCTTTTTGCCTTTTTGGCTTCCCTTTGATGTCCCTTTGGCTTCCACTCAAAAACAGTGTTCAGGTGGGTCTGAAGGGAACTCAAACAAAGCCCATTCCCTCACCGTTCTTCGCATGTTTTTTAGTTTTAGCTTCTGTTCACCTTTTTAGTGGGTGGGGGGCGGCAAAAATGAGTTTTCTTTGTGCAAAACACATTCTTGGTGTCAAAAAACAGAGAGATAGAGAGAGAGAGAGAGAGAGGGTGAGAGAGAAAGAGACCGCACAGGCGCTGCGGCTGCTTGCGGCGGTGCTGTCCTTCAAGTCGCCGGGGACTTGAAACGAACGGACAGCGCCGGGTGTGAAGTGGGCTGGGGCAAGGGTACTTTCTTTTACCACTGCTTTGACCTACCACTACTAGATGCTGCTGCTACTACTACTTGATGCTGCTGCTACTACTACTACTACTACTACTACTACTACTACTACTACTACTACTACTACTTGATGCTGCTGCTACTACTACTCAATGCTGCTGCTACTACTACTTGATGCTGCTGCTACTACTACTTGATGCTGCTGCTACTACTACTTGATGCTGCTGCTAGTACTACTTGATGCTGCTGCTACTACTACTACTTGATGCTGCTGCTACTACTACTTGATGCTGCTGCTACTACTACTTGCTGCTGCTGCTGCTGCTACTACTTGATGCTGCTGCTGCTGCTGCTACTACTACTACTACTACTACCACTACTACTACTACTACTACTACTACTACTACTACTACTACTACTACTACTACTACTACTACTACTACTTGATGCTGCTGCTACTACTACTTGATGCTACTACCACTACTACTGCTGCTACTTTTGGTGCTACTGCTACTATTGCTACTATTACTACGACTGCTACTGCTACTTCCACTGGATCGTGTCCACTAGCACGGTTCAAGTTTTCTGGCGCGTGGAGCGTCATGAGCACTCTTAACAACAGTTCCCCGGAGTTATCGTTTCTTAATTTGGTACCGTCTTTCCAAGACAAGGTGGGGTGTCCTTCTTCAGGACAGTAGTCTTCCAAAGTCTTCGATGTTACATGGGCGTGTTGTTTTTTGGAACGGGCCCTTTTTGGAGGGCGCCCTTTTGTTGCTAGTTGTCATGGAAGGTCGAAACAGGAAACCCACCATTTGGGGGCTCCCCGAAACCGGGAAAAACCGGCGAAGAGATTAGGATTCCTGTTCCAAGGTACCAGGCCTCCGCTGCGACCGCCAGCATCCTCTACAAGCTGCGGGCAAGGCAGCCGCTTCGGTTTTTCCGGGCAAGCAGGTGATTAAGCGGGGAAGCGAAGAAACTGCACGACAAACCCAGAAATCCCTTAAAGCCCCTCATTACGAATGAATCCCTCTTATTGAAGTCGATCTTTTTCCCTCTCGCGATCGCTTCACCTTGGCCTTTGGATACCCAAATGGCAATGCCGGGACAAAAATCCTGGAGCACCTGGCCAAACATTGGGAAGTCTCTACGAATGCGTGGCTTGGCCATGCGTTACCCTGTTCTAGGCGGATGTGGTCATTTTCCAGTGGGATTTGGCTCTAAAAGCAGCTGTGAAACAGGTTTCCTTGGCCCATCCGTTCTCAACCATAGGCGCCTTGAGCTGGTAGAAAAAGCGTACCCTTCCATTATTATACATGGTGGGAACTACATGGCAGCGGAGCACAAGGTCTGCGGCTTTGACTTTGACGAGCCCTTTTAGCCGATTAGGCATTTTGGTCATTGGCCTGTTGCTGGAGAAGCCCAATCTCGGTCAGCTGTGATGGATGTGCCAAGGAACGGAGGCAACCTACCCGATTGCCAGCTTCGACATCCAGGTGTTACGACTTCAACGCCATCATCGGAGTGGACCTCCTTTTTATCATGGGAGTTAGCAACTACATGGAGCACCCTGTGTTGAACATCACCTGTCACGGCATAATGTACTCGACCTTCGTCCTCGTGGAAGTGAACAGGCGAGGAGCTGGATTGGTCTGGAGGGTTTTCGCAAAATCCTGGTTGCGGTTGTTCGGAGAACCCTCGTACATGGTCATGGACCAGGGGACGAGTTCATCGGACGAGACTTCCAAGAAGGACTAGAGAGACAAGGCATCCACCGAACGCAGAGGCGGCCTTTTCAAGAAGTCTACTACCGGAGCCGGTTGCTGTGTCAGCCGAAGACGCTGGAGGAAGTGGAGACGTTGATTGCGGAGACTTGCTGGGCACTACAGACACTATTTCACTGCAGCGGCTACAGCCCAACCCAGAGAGTAGTGGGGAAGCAACCAGCATGGCTTTTTCCACCAAAATGAAGGGACACCACCATTTACAAGGCAATGTTCAGGTGTATGATGTAGGGATGCCTGTTGAACCGCTAACATCCGTGCTCAGCCATAGGCGCCTTGAGCTGGTAGAAAAAGCGGACCCTTCAATCTGTACAGGGTGTGAACTACACGAGCATTTCAATTTTCAGAGGGGCTGGACATGAGTAAGAACAACCGCAGAAGAAAACGGTGATCACGAAGTGATCATGAACACATGTTTGTTCAGTGACAATGCACGCTATCATCCCCCAGCCAGAAACACCTGAACCCCCCCCTCCCCCCTCCTCCACCCCCCACCCCCACCCAAACCCACACTCGCCTCCGCCGATCTTGGTCCCGATCCATACCTTGGTTTACCCTTGTCTCCCTAAAGCAGGAAATCAGACACGAGGAATATTTCACTTTTGTGAACAGAAAAGCGGGCTTTTCAGCGGTTTCGCGGAATAAGGGACTCCGCCCCAAGAAGCAAAATAATACATATATATATATATGTATATATATATATGCATATACATATGTATTTATACACATAACAAACAAACACCATGGCTTGTTTTTTCGTGGTTCCCTGTAAAACCGCCAAGAGGGGTACCATGCAAACAGCACACCACACCCACGCCCACGCCGCCTCTTTTTGGCAGGCCGGCTCAGGCCCAGCCGCAGGCGCAGGAGGAGGCCCCAGGGCTCTCTTCCCAAGAAAGCTGTGTCCTTTTCGGAGAAGCTGGGGAAACGAAAATGAAAAGTCTAGGGGTTGGCTTTTCAGGGGTTTTCTGAAAAGAAGGATCCCTGGAAAGAATGGGGAAGTGTCCCCTAGAAAAAGGGCTCTCTGCAACCAGGACGGTTGTTCCTTTTCCAGTAGGTGGGAAGAACATTGCCCATGGGTTCGGTTCCAGTGTCACAGTTGGAAGTATACAACTCCTCATTCCCACGGGGCTTCGTCTTTGTGCTTAGGGCACCCTTGTTCCGAGGAAACCCGCTCTGGGTTTGTCTCAATATTAGGTGACCCTCCGGATTTCCTGCGGAGCCAGGCTTCAGTTGCTAGCGCCAGAGTGGTCAAGGAAAACCGAGGCGATATGCGTTGTTTTTGATGGAACCCTCTTGTTGGAGTCAAGGGAAAACAACATGGAAAACACCACTGGTTCTGGACATACGTAGCCGTCCTTGGCAGGGCGGGCCTTTTCTTTTTGAGTGTAGGCGAGACTTGTGTGTGCTGTCTGCACTTTTTGATTTCAGAAGCCTTTGGCTTTTGGAGGTTTATTAAGACACGCACCGGTGAGCATGGTGGAATGGGGATGCCGAAAGTCTTATGAGTGAACCAAGGCGCATTACCAACAATTCGGTCCCTTTCGGATGGCGTTTTTTAAAATGAAACTCCGATTTTGAGAGAAACCTATCTGTTGGCCTAACCAACCGACCAAACCATGTTTGGGCATGTTGTCGGCATTTTGGGGTGTGGTCCCCTAAAAAGAGACACCGCCTGCTTAAGGGCCCTTGCCAGGCTGCTTCCTCGCCATCGGCGAGGCGGAACCCTAGGGGGAGCACCTGAATTTGTCTCATGGGCGTGACCCCGAAAATGTGTGTGTCCATTTCTTTGGCGGAACCCCCAAAATGGTCGTTTTCCTTGGCAAAGGGGGTACCCTCCCCCCCAAAAAAAAGAGTGCTTGGGCTTCCCTTTAAAGCAAGGCCAAAACGGGTAGCCTCAGAAAAGACGCTGAGACCGTGCTTTGTTTGGCCTTGAAACGCTTCGGCTTGCAACCTAAGTGCGTAGAGGCCATTCGTTCAAGGCTCTTTCCGAATTGCTCTCATCCTCCGCATCTCAAAGCTGCTAGCAGATTGCTCAGCATTCTTGAATTACGTTACGCCAGGGCGAATTGCCCCCCAAGTTCCTTACTCCGAGCTGTTCCATAAGGAGGGATCCTTCACTTTTGGCCCCTCCTGTTTCCGCCCGGCTGTAATTCCTTCAATACCACGTGTGGCTTGTTGCTTCTGCTTGTTATGGTCTCTAGCCCTCGACGTCACGAGTGTCCCGGCAGATCTTCAGCTACGTTCCAACGGGCGATGGGTCTCCGCAGGCCCAGGATAGTCATCAACGACGACGGGGAAGTCTTCTGGTACGTCCCGCGCCAGGAAGGGCCGCAGGCGCAAAAAATGGGCGCCGCGAAAAAGAAAATTAAGCAATCCGCCGGCCTGCGGGTTTGAGTTGGGGGTTTGAGAACTGCATTGGGTGTTTGTTCAAAAGAAAGCAGAACATGCAAGTGAGAATCCTGAAAGCCACTTGACTTGTTTTTGTTTGTTTTTGTTTTTTTCCAAAAAAGGATCAACCATGCAAGTGAAAATCCTGATGGCCTTTCTGAGACCTCTGTCTTAACCGCACTGAGTTATGTTTGAGAGAACTCCAAGCGGATTCCGTTTGCCAGCATGGCTCGAAGGGCGGGCCCCGAAAATCTTGAGAACTCAACTCAGCTCAGTTTAGCGCAGTCCAACACCTCAGATCTGTTTTGGTGCCCGTTTTTCACATCCTTTTTCGAGTGTTTTGGGGTTGGGGTGGGAGTTTCTCAAAATGGTGGAATGTTGGTTGGTACTCACAGGGAAACCAAAAGAAACCAGCCATTTAGGGATCCTATTGCGAGATTAATAGTTGCTTAGAATTTAACCTGTTCTAAATTTAGTGGTGCGCCATGCGAAAGTTTGCTCGCTGGAAATGATGTTTTGCATGCTTGCTTTGCGGAGACCAGCCGCATGTCCTGCGGTTCCAGCCATGGCAACCTGCAGCGCTTGCAGCAGCCGTTTGGCAGGGTGATGGGTTTGTTTGCTTGTTAGTTAATTAGTTAGTTAGTTTGTTTGTTTGTTTGCTTTGCCCCCTGTGTTTATATTTTTGTTGGTCGTTGTGTTGCTATGTTTTCTCTGTAGTTTCTTTGTTTCGTCTTGTTCTGATTCGTGTTTGTGCTTTGGCGTGATGTGTTTTGTTTCTTTGGTTCTGCTTTGGGTGTGCGTTTTGCATCGTGTTGGGTTGTTATTTTTTGTTGTTGATAGTGTTTTGTTCTGTTGTCTCTTTTTTTGGTTTGCCTTTTGTTCTGCTTGGGGTTTGTGTTTCGTTTTGTTTTGGGCTGTTCTTATTGGTGTGTTTGAGTGTTTGTTTGTTTTGTTTGCTTGCTTGTTTGTTTCTTTGTTTGCTTTTTTTGTTTGTCGTGCTTAGCTGTGTTTTATGTTGTTTCTTTGTTTGGTGTTGTGTCCTGCTTTGTGCCTGTTCTTGTTGCATTTTGGGCAGTTTTTGTTTGTTTGTCTTATTGTGTTTCTTTGTTTGCCTCTTGTTCTGCTTTGTTTTTGTTCGTCGAACGGTCAAGCGAGGGACAGATATTCATAAGACATAAAAAGAAAGGAGAGGCTTCCTTCATCTCCCCATCCATCTATTTCCGTATCTGATCCTGTCGTTCCTTCCTCCACTCCATCTTTTCCATCTGAGATTACGTGTTGGAACTGGTATCACTATGTGTTCATGCTATTAAGAAAGAAGTACAAACAGTTGTCATTATCATCCAATTCTTTGGACTATCGGATTCCCTTCTTCATGTCATATCTCTTCTCAGCCATTGCCAGCTTATGAATAAGACCGTGAGGAAATTATTGATGATTGAGTGATGACAAAATGTTCCTCCCTCCGCCACACCAATCATTCTTTTTACATCTGCATAGTTTGGTTGGTGCAACTCTTCCCTGACCAGCTCATAAAGTAAAGAGAGCTGGAGCAGTAACATACTTTTCTTTGTAGTCTTATTTTGGTTTATTGGTCACATTCTGATGGTTCCTGTTTTTCCATCAGACCTCAACCTAATTACAATGGGTGAATGAGTGAACAGGATGGACATCATTCCCTCTCCCCCCTAGCCAGTTCCAAGCCTATCAATCATCAAGAGTGGATAGGCGGGGAAGGGATAGGAAGAGAAAGATGAGAGATGAAGATAAAGTCATATGATATCTCCATTATTCCCTTTCATCTATTTCTGTTTCACCAGTCATCTATTTCTTGTTCATGTCCTCTATCCTCACCCACCTGCGTCTTAAACAAGTTGGTGGAGGATGGACATGCACTAGAAATAGAAATAAACATAATTATGACAGGACAAGGACAAACATGATATGATTAATAGATCAGTGACTTGGAAGTCTTTCTATTTGTCTCTTTCATTATCTTATCCATTCCTTTCCATCGCCTCTGCGTTCCTCCACCATTTGCTCACCTTTGTTCCTTCCCTCACTCTCCTATCTGTAGCTAACTATTCATCCTGGAAATTGGTAAACCTCCATCATCGTTACAGAGGGTTAATCCTCAGGACTCACTCACATGATGGTCATATCAAGAATCAAACCGTGTGAAGGCAAGTGAAAGGAATGATTCGCCATCCCAACCCTTCTTTCTAGTCTATCTGTTGGGTTTTCCTTCCTTCCCAAACTCAACTATTCATCCTGGAAATTGGACCGTTTCTTCTCTCTGTCCGCTCTTCAAGCTAGGATGAGAGCGGGAGAGAGGCGATCCAACCTTCATTCACATCCTAAAGGTGGATGATGGAGAAGTGAAACCCTTTGGTGGACATCATTCAGGTGGGATTTCCAACCACTTTTCAGGGGGTTCCCCGTCAAAGTTCACAGCCATATGATTCACCCGCTGTAACCACAATATGATGGAGGGAGCGAATGGGTGGAGGAGCGGGTGAGCCGGATGCAGGAGAGACCGGTAATGTACCTAAGGACAAGGAATGGAGGCACGATGGAAAGGATATGCATGAAGACGAGATAGCCTGAATGAATCCTTTCCTATGAGCCGTCCAAAATGTGAGGACGGGATGAGACAAGGAAAGGGGGAGAGACATATGAATGGATTGTGAGAGATATTGATAATCCATCATATCATTTCTCTATCACATTCCTTTCCTAACAGTACAAACTTATGAATGACGTTGGCAAGCAAGGGCAATGTCGTGAATAATGGATTATGCCACTTTATGTTTGGTGTCTTGACCAATTGAAATCTTGGGAATGTTGATGAACAAGAAATCCAAATGAGAGAGAGAGAGAGATAGAGAGATAAAGTGACGGGAAATGCATTCCTTTCCTAAGCAGTTCCTTCCTTCCCTAGCCCAAGATATGAATTCCAGTGAGATGGAAGAGTGAAGTCTGGGAGGGGCAAACCTCTTGACTTGCCTTCCAACAACAAATATTAAGTTAACATGTACGTGTGACTTTCTTGGGCCGTGCCCAACGCCAAGGCAATTTGCCCAACAGTCGCAGTGTGCCCAACACTCGCAATCGGCTCCAGCCTCAGTCGGTCGTTTTCAGAAATCGCAGATCCAGCGCTGTGACGCGATTATGGGGCAAGCGCAGAAATGAAGCACATGGCAAGAGTTGCAGCTTTTTGTTTGGCGAATTGGTGGGACAAAAGGAGGCAGAGCAGGTTGCCAAAATGGTGCGTTTTCGGGCGACCTCTGCCAAGAAAATGTTTGTGTTTTGCTGTCCGGCATGGGCAGGCTTGGTGCAGCAATCATGAACAGGCACTAACTTGAAGCATCGACAGCTTGGCTCAGGTCAGGTCCAAGCAAGGTCGTGCTTCGCGAGCCACCTTGTTTGTTTGTTATCCTTGCAAGCTTGACACTAAGACGGCAGTTGCATTTGCAGTTGCACGCTTGCTTGCGTGTGGCTGACATGTTTATGGGAGCAGCCCCCCGCACCGAGGATCAAAACCGGAGACATCCTTGGATCCATTTGGCAAGAAAAGGGAAGCCATTTGGAGGTGTCATTTCCCGGTTTGTTTAGGCAACCTTTTGAGCTCACCCGAGCTGATCCCTTGCTTCCAGCTTTGGCCTTATGTATATATATATATAATATACTATATACATATATATATATATATACATACTATATACATACATATATATATATGGAATTATATTGGACTTATATGTATATATATATATATATACATATTTATACAGAGTGATTTGCTCACACACATCGCCTCTGTGGGCGGCACACGGAAGACCAGTTCGCACTTGGGTGTCGCGGCACATAATTTTCGGGGGACTCGCCGCAGGACTCGCGGGGTTGAGTCCTCTTCCATTTCCTTTTCAGCCGTGGTTCTTTGCAGAAACCGCGCGCCAGGTCCAACCAGGGTTTTTGCCATGTCCAACCAGGGGTTTTGCCATGTCCAACCAGGGTTTTTGGGTGGTTTTCTGGAAAGAGTCGGATTTTTTTGGGGAAAAAATCGGGAATGGAAGATACCTAGAATGACCCCGAACAGGCTCCCTTAGGACACCGCCGGTTGGGGTGGTTCGGTTTGGTGTCGGTCCACCGCGCCCGCGCCTGAGGCTCCTTCCCCGCAGGAGCCGGTGACCTTGCCGCCGTCCACTCCCCCGGAGCTGCAGGCTTTGGGCGGGGTTTTGTCGGGGGGGACATCTTGTTTTTCTTTTCCGGGGGGGACATCAGGGTAAGCCTCCCTACATTTTTTTTTTTTTTTGGACACCAGATGACACCTACTTGGGTCTTATTTTTCAACGGGAGGATGAATTGCGTGGATGTCCTGCTTTCTTGTCTTGCGCCACATTCAACCCTTGATTTTGCCTACACAGCCCAATATGAATTCAAGGGCTAGCATGATCTCATCCATATTGCCCATGACAAACATCAGCTCACATTTTCATATGTATGATTGGCGGGCACGGGGAGTTGAACCCTGGTAGTTCTGGACACCTACCCCCTTTCAAAGCAGCTGGTCAACCGAAACCATCTGGAACACCACCTGAAACAACACCGCCGCACCGCCAAACCACAAACATGTTTTGGTGTGGGGTGTGAAACGCCACACGGCTTCTTGCTGTTTTGTTCAGATTATTCCGGGTGTTTTTCGTGTTTGTCTCCCCACAAAAAAGCACCGAGAGGGCGTTCTTTGTTGGCCTGGGGGTTGATTCCCCATTCTGTTTAGCCATTGTTCTTTCCAAACTCCGGCTGTTTTTTTTGGGTGTCCGGAGGTTTTCTAGAAAGATTCGGATCCCTGGGTTCAGAATGGAATTGGCAGATGCCCCTAGCAATTTGGGGGTTCAACAGTCCTGGGCCCCGATGGGGCATAACCTATGGCTCCATTTGGGGGAAGATACCCGGATCCCCAGTTTGAGGGTTTTCGGTGCAGCACCCATTTTAGACCTATTTGAGTGGGGATTGGGCTGTCCCCTGGAGTTTTGTGTTCTTTTCTTCTCGTCCAGGAGCACTTCGCCCGGCTGGTGCAAGAGAGGCGGGAGCTGAAGGACTACGCGGAGCGCGTCACCCGGGAGCTGCGCAGGCGCTTGGGGCGGTTTTTGGAGCTAACTGAGAAAGTCGCTGCAGGTCTTTTTCTCAGTTTGGGGGTTCACTGGGGCGATGGACGGGAGGAGAAAGAGGGGAAGACAGCTGTTTTTTATCATTTGCAAGGGGTTGAGTGACGGCAAACGGATATGCGCGGTTCAGCTTTGGGGCTCACTTCCGATGGTGGAGGCTTGGTTCGGGCGGACATGACTTGCTTCTGTTCGTTCACGTCATGTCTGCCCTGCCATCATCGGCAGACATGAGATTCGGATTTTCGCATCACTGGTTGGAGTCAACCTCCTGGTCGTTGACAAAAAAAATATGAGTTCTCATAGGGGACCTGAAATGGCGGCATCAAAATTCGGTGACTCCTGTCCACCAACCACTGTTGAGGTTGCTGGTCTTAGATGGGGCAGGTACCAGCAATCTCGGCCGCAGCCGGCAGCCAGCCCGGATGACGACGCTTGGTGAGCAAGAAGAAGCCCTTCGCGATGCATCAAGAAGTGACTCGCAGCAGAGACTCAGATCACTTCAGGTTTTTGGTACTGGGCCGCGCACAAAAACGAATCCCAGGATCTTCCGCTGCCGCCTTGGGCCGCCAATATGCAGATGATGTCTCCGCTCCTCTTCGCCTATGAGGAGCCATTGGGATGGGTTTTTGGTCGATCCGTGGGTGTCGGAAGGCTGAGCCTCGGTTCCGGCCACGGTTTCGGGGAGGTGAGGGGCTCGGGATACTCCGCAGACCTTATCATACCCCGTGGAATGCGCGGCCGGAACGGGTTCGCAGGAATGCTGGTATCTTGTAAGTGCCAACGTGTTCAAACAGGGAATGCGCCGCCCAACGTCTTTGGTGACACGTCCGTTGGCGGGAACCCATTTGTGTTGCGCCATATGGGTGTGTCTCCAGATAGACCCCCCCAAGGAGGTCAACATGGACTCCCACTCTTTGGTTTGGGTTCCTAAACAGTGAGACGTTCCCAAATGAATAGACATACATATTCACGCAATGATACATATGTATATATAGACATACATATATATATATATATATATAGGTGCACGAGCATACGTACAAACATATTATA